ACAGTGTTTTTGCTGTGAAGGTTATGTGTAAAAATGTGGTCTCACGGGTCTCACGAAAACAGGCTGGTCTCACGTGAACCCAACCCTATATATATATATATATATATATACATACATATGCGTTGATGCATACATATTATGAAAAATATGTTTTTTGTCAATTAGTATATTCATCAATGTATATGTACTATATATGCATTGGTGCAATACTCACTAAAATTTGTATAGTGTATATGCATCAATGCACCGTTCACAAAATATCTATGGTTCTCATTTGAACCTTATATATATATAATGCGAGTCAAATAAGAAGGTTAAATATCGTGAGAAGGGAAGGTTCATATGTGAATCATTGATTAAAAAATCCATTTGAAGATGCATATGTGAACCAATATGAATAATCTGTAACGTCAGTTCCATAAGCATATTCAAAAAGATCTTTTTCGGGTTTTTTCAATAATTCACATATAAACCTTTCCTTATTACCTTCTCATGATATTTAAGCCTTCTTATTTGAACCAGCCCTTATATATATATATACACACACACACATTCACATATATGCTTATCAAAATTTAAACCAATAATAGTTTGTTTGACATTCTAATTATGCCTCTAAACTTTATTCTTGGATCGGATGTAGGGTTACCAAGGTTTCCGAAATGGGGGCACCTTAAGGAGCTTCATCGAGCTATAAAGTTGTGTGAACATGCATTGTTGAACAACAAACCCACCTTGGTCCATCTTGGGCCTCTACAAGAGGTGGGTTTTCGCTCTCTTCTATTTATGCTCCCCCCGTCCCATGAAAATCACAACATTTTCCTTTTCCCAAGATAAAGTTATATTTTTGTCCATTTTGTCGTTACAACTTATCAAGGCTAGCCTTTGTGGTTGGCTTTAGCTTAACGGGTTAGGAGGTGGACATCCTTGCAGAATGAGTGGGAGGTCTAGGGTTCGACTCCAGGCACCACCCATCTGCCTACGGGATACGCGATTTACCCTCCCCATGATGGCCGTATGGTTGGAGCGCTCCAGAGGGTGGCGGCATATACCCTTTTGCAAAACTTATCAAGGCTATTGGTTGTCCAAATTCTTTTCCTCTTTTTGTAATTGTTGCATGGGGCTTTAGACCGTTTGACTTAGGGTTGAAATTGGTATTTAGACCATTTGACTTTTGGGTAGATGACAGGTCTGTGTGCATCCGGCCCTCCCTAGACCCCACCTTCGAGTGGGATATACTGTATTATTATTTTTGTTTCTTTACTTTTTAACCTTAAAACTCTTGAATTTCGTTCACACCAAGTCCCTAATTTCTTCATATTTTATCAACTTTGATACGATGAGTGCGTGTTTTTCCAACTAGGCTGATGTCTATGAAGATCAATCGGGAAGCTGTGCTGCCTTCATTGCCAACTTAGATGACAAAAGCGAAAAGACGGTACATTTTCGGAATGTTTCATATACGCTACCAGCATGGTCGGTGAGCATTCTTCCAGACTGCAAAAATGTAGTCTTCAACACTGCCAAGGTAACTTCTTTTTGAAAGATATAATATTTATATACAGAAAAACCGATACACATTCTTCACCTTTTGGTGAGGCTTGAACCCTGGACCTTCATTGTGCCCAAAGACCTATTGGTTTTATTCACGTATTTTCATGTACAAAAGCCTAATAACGGGAGGTAAATCAACGTCATTTGCGTTTTCAAACAGGTCGGATCTCAAACTTCTACCATTGAAATGGAACCGGAGCAGTTGAAACCTTCAATTGCTTCACCGGATAAAGACTTGAAACCACTTAGTTGGGAAATATTTGTTGAAAAAGCCGGGATATGGGGAGAAGCTGATTTTACTCGTAACGGCTTCGTGGATCACATCAATACCACAAAAGATACCACCGACTACCTTTGGCATACAACGAGGTTTGTTTAGTCTGGTTTTAGCTGCATACTCCCTCTGTCCGAAAATAAATGTCCACAATGAAAAAGGCACATGGTTTTAGAAATATGTATTTATTACACTTTTTAATTAACTAAACGACAATTTTACCCTTGATAAGAGAGGTAGTAATGGCTTTCTTCATCTCATAATCAAGGATAAAATTGGAAAATAGGTACTTACTTTTGAAAGTGGACACTTATTTTGGGACGGAGGGAGTATTATCTTTCTATATACCAAGTGTATTCGAGTTTCAAATTAAATTTTGCCAAACCTTCCGATTGTAGATTATTTGTTGACGAGAATGGAGAATTTTTAACGAACGGAAACCAACCAACGCTCCTCATCGAATCAAAGGGTCATGCCCTTCATGCCTTTGTGAATGGCATACTTCAAGGTTTGTATGCTCAAGAACATTATTCACAAGTCAAACTTCTTATGCCAGAACCGTGATTTGACTTTCCGTTTTTTCGCTCACTAGATCATCATCTAATAATCTTTTCCACGATTTACTTCGGCCTTCTCAGCTAGTGCAGCTGGAAACGGTACAGTATCACCGTTCAAGTTTAAGAGCCCGGTGTCTTTGAAGGCGGGAAAGAACGAAATTGCTATTCTAAGCATGACCGTGGGACTCCAAGTAAGTTACTCGTTTTGTTCGTTCGACTTTTTCGTTTTACGGGTCTCATAAATATGGAGTGAAAAAACCAGGGGTCTTCACCGAAATAACCTCTCTAACCCTTGACCCTATCTCTGTGTGGGATTTACTGAGTTTGTTTGATTTACGTATACGGCATTGTGGGTCCCGTTTTGTAGAATGCAGGATCGTTTTACGAATGGGTTGGAGCCGGTTTAACGAGTGTGAAACTCAAAGGTTCGAAGAATGGAACCATGGACTTATCTAACAGCACATGGACCTACAAGGTACACTCTTCTATCATTTGTTGACATTTGACTTTTGATGGTCAAACTGGCTAGTTTCGAACTTTAAAATCGACATGGGCAACGTTCTACGGATCAAAACCAGATAACAGTGCTTAACGACAGAAAATTCAATTCGAATAGAAACTTGTCAGAGCTAAAAAAATCGAAAAATCTATGCCGAATTTTAATATGGACTGTACAAGGTTTGACCCTCTTCTTTCCGGTTGTCAACGGTTGATTTTTTTCTGGTTTTTGCAGATTGGGTTAGAAGGTGAGCATCTTGGTCTGTATGACGCAAATGGTTTGAAAAATGTGAACTGGAGATCGGTCTCGGAGCCACCTAAAAACCAGCCATTGACATGGTACAAGGTATGCAACTCTAAGGGACTTTGCATGAAAAACACTCAGTGGCTGTTTACTACCTGCTGTGCCTCTTACTGGGTAAGAAGGGATGTTTACCAACACATTCAGACCCAGTAAGGAAAGGGTTGCTTTCTGACTTGGTCAGTGCTTACCCAATTTGTGTTGGTAAATGGCTCCTTAAGCTCCTCCGTTCATTTTTGACCATTTTCTAGGTCCCGTTTTGTTTCCGAATGTAGTTTTATGATGAATTCTTGTAACTGAAGAACGGATAACTGATTATTAAATCTTGTAGGCTGTTGTGGATGCCCCGCCAGGAGACGAACCCGTTGCACTTGACATGGTTCACATGGGAAAGGGATTGGCGTGGCTGAACGGGGAGCAGATCGGAAGATATTGGCCCCGAAAGGCGCCAATTGACAAGTGTGTTAAAGCGTGTGACTACAGAGGCAAGTTCAACCCCGATAAATGCAATACAGGATGTGGAGAACCGACACAAAGATGGTAAAATCTCCCTTCCGTCCCCATAAATACAGCAAGAACACCGATACTTATTGGCAACTATATCCAAAGAAGTCGATCACATCATCGCGTTTGACCTCGAAAGTCAAAACCACATACGTTGTATAGAAAACACAATACAACTATATGGGCGTTTTTGGTCTTATAAACTGAAGTCCTATTAGGTCATCCAAGACAGCTAGGCATCCTAAAAACCGTATTTTGTTGTTGTGAAATCAATATATCATCTCTCAATCTCTTATTATTCCGTAGGTATCATGTTCCAAGGTCTTGGTTCAAGCCGTCGGGCAATGTTTTGGTGATGTTTGAGGAGAAAGGCGGAGACCCCACTCAGATTAGGTTCTCGAGGCGGAAGTTATCCGGTCTTTGTGCTCACATATCCGAAGATCACCCCTCCTTTGTTACCAATGATTTGCACAAAAACAAAGCAGATTTGGAGCTAAAATGCCCGATGAACATGCACATTTCCGCTTTCAAGTTTGCCAGCTATGGAACTCCGACAGGGGCTTGCCAATCCTACGCCATTGGAGATTGCCATGATCCCGACTCCACCTCTGTTGTCGAAAAGGTAACTAGTTTTCTTATCCTTAAAGGTGCATTTGGTACGTGGAACACGACATAACAAAACAAAAACTTTTTGTCCCACGTGGCACGATATTAGACTGGGCAGGACGAGACTGAGTGACATTTTTGTCCCACCAAAATAAGTTGAACAAAATCAGGAAGAAGAAGAGACAGGGTTAGTAAATTACCAAACTACCCTTGTCAAGTTAAAACCCTAAAACCGTCAATAATTTTTAATCCCCACCTTGCTTTGATCCCTCCAATACTGGCCAATCTGTTCCTGTCTGGTCAATGTACCAAATGCACCCTAATAATTATAGTCGTCACCTTGTTTAGACCACGACCCCATGGTTTATATTAACGTGGTCGTGTTATTTATGCAGCTATGCTTAAACAAGAACGAATGCAAAGTGGGGTTAACCGAAAAGAATTTTAGAACGGAAATTTGCCCCGGTGTGATGAAGAAACTTGCCGTGGAAGCCATGTGTAGCTAATCGTTCCGGTTTGGGTCGAAACGGTTATTTTTTTGTAGTCCTGCCTACGTGATTTCAAAATCTACAAGAAAAATCTTGGGTTGATTTGTGTAATGTTTTTATTTTTGAGGTCTTGGTTTTAATTTATATATTTTGTGGGTCCCAAGTGACACCCATTTACATGCATCATCAATCTATCTGAGTATTTCTAATATATTTTTGAAAAAGTTAAAATATTCTTATTCGATTTATAATTTATTGTTGTTTTTTTCTTTATGAATGGAATTCGTTGTACATTACTTGGTTAAATTTTTTACAGAAATCGTATTTTTTTCATCAAATTATTCGTCTAAGAGATTTTAGATTCTTATATTAAAATATTTAATGCATTAATAACGATAAAATTCTTCCGATGCCTCGAACTTTTTGTTTGGAAAGCGAACAAATAAAATAAAATATTTATTTATTGTGTCTTTGAAGACGGGTTCGATTTCGTGCTTTTCTCTAGCCTTTCTCGTTGGGTGAGACAAAAAAAATATACTTTTATATTGGTGTCTTCAATAACAGGTTTTTATATGAAATCGGTTAAGAACAAAGCTTATAAATCATATACTCAATTTTCAAGTTCTAAAAAAACCATCTCCTGCTTTTATTTTATAAAATATGCAATCAAAAGTTCACTCTTTGAGTGTAAGATAAATTATTTTTAATTTGAAATTCAAATGGAAAAAAAATTTATAGCTACAATTAATCAAAGAATGTCAAAATATAAACCTTTTGAGGGTAAATATTGAAAATTAGAGGTTGATTTTGCAACAATTAAGGGGATGTTTGGGATTGTTTATTTAAAACAACTTATCATTTTCTATAAATGTCTTTATCAACTTATTATAAGTTAGAAGAGTTTGACTTTTTTAAAAACTCTTTATTACCGGTTTAGCACCGGTATAAGTTGTTTATCCAAACACTCAAAAATGTTTATTACCGGTGTCATACCGGAATAAGTCAATAAGTTGTTTTTATAAGCAATCTCAAACACCCCCTAAATTTCTATGTTTGTACTAACAAGAGTCGTCCGAGAGAAGTAGTAGTTAGCGGTCATCTTTCATAGTTGTCTCTCAAGAATACTGTCTATTATATGTACGTCTTAACTCGTTAAATTTTCAATATTAATCGGTCCTGATAATTACACTTTTTTCGCCGCGTTTCTTGTGAACTTCTTTGATTCTTTCCACGGATCTGCAAATACCACTGCAACTCCAGTCGAACGAAGCAATGCACACATTACCTGTTTTTGCTTTCCGCTCACATTCTATATAAAAGTGAAACGTTTAAACTCAAACTCGACTTTGACACTTAAAAGCCAAAATTTTAACTCCTAGTAGAAGTACGTACCCGGAGGGGTCCCACAACACATGTTCCGGTCATCAATATGCTCAACGTCGAGACCGATGAACCAAGCACCGAGCGACACATCTTCATTTGCATACTTGTGTAGTATTGGCCTGATAAAGAAATCATCAAAGTCTAAGATCATGTACAAAGAAACCATAATGGTGCCCTTTTTCAGCAAAATTTCCAAAAAAGTGGGACCCACAAGCAAAAATGCATGTTTATTGAAAGATTGTAACCGTGAAAAAGAAGCGCTATTGTATATGCTCTATACTTTATATCCTTAGAAGATTTGGTGTTGTTTATCCAATACTTACCTTGTAAGCGTTTATCTATAAGATTCAACATTTATACTTAACTTACTAGGTAAGATTATTGTCCGTTAAAACGGTATTGTATGGAACACTTTTATCCGGTAAGCACTTAGGGGGTAAGAGCCGACACTCTCACTTATCAGGTAAGATTCTATCGCTCTTACCATGTAAGATTTTCAATTTTTGTCATGTTAATTCGATATGGTAAAGTGAGCTGATAAGCACTTACAGGGTAAGCGTGTAGTATCAACGGCCCCTTAGTCAGGCATCACTCAGGTTCGTTTATGTTTTCTATGGCTACTGATTTAAATAGCAAAGATTTCAAACAAAACAATAAAAGAAATTAGTTTTCATATTGCAATTGGTATGGAAAACAAGGTTCGAAATCCATTGATCAAATTAGAAAGTAGATAGCTTCGGAGTTCTTACTGATTGGTGGAGATATATTCAACAAGATCGCTGGAAATGGCATAAATCTGCCCCGTTGCATGCCAAAAGTATTTGTTTCCTTCCTCTCCGAATTTCTAGTATTCAGGTTCATGGTACTTCACATTCCTACATAACATAACAAGTCACGTACGTTCTCCATCTCATAAAAATTGCAACAATTTCTGTTTTATGGTATCTCTTATTTATATGTGTGTTATTATAAAGGGCTTCATTACAACAATATCGAGTTTATAAGACACCCAATGTGTTTTAAGTGTCATGACAGATTAATTTATAGGAGTCAAATTTATAGGACCAACACTTGTGTTGTGTGTCCTATCTATGAGTGTTGCAATAAGATATTAAGATTTTAGGTGTCTTACCAAGCTTTTTATAGGAGACTTTTGAAACAAAGCGTCATATTAGCCCTTTTATTAGACACTTTTGAAAAGTGTTCTATCAACACATCTTTTAATAGAACACTTGTTTTATAAAACCTTTTTTCAAATAATGTCATATAAAAGGGGCTAATAGCATACTTGTTTTATAAGACTTCTTTTCAAATAATGTCATATAAAAGGAGCTAACCAGACACTTGTTTTATAAGACATCTTTTTTCAAATAATGTTAAATAAAAGGAGCTAACAGAAAACTTAGTTTCAAAAGTGTCTGAAAAAGCTTGTTAAGATGGTTAAAAGAATCCTTTAAGCTTATTACAACACTTTTAGATATGACCCACGAGTGTTTACTCCTATAAACTTAAGTCTAATAAAGTAGTCTACTATGACACTTAGTGTTATGTAAACCCGGATTTCTTGTAGTGTTTGTTTTCGGCCATGCCCTTTATTTTATCATTATTAAAGGGGAAATATTCCGTTCAATCAAATATTGTAATTTTTTTTACAAGAAAAAGTATGGAAGAAGTTACTTTTTAGAAAGGACAGGCCCAGATTTCATGCATCCTATATAAACCGTGGGCTTTGATCGATGCCTATCAAGACTTGAAGCTAACATGCCTGCAAAACGATGAGAATGGGCAAATAAGTAATTTCAGCTTGAAAATTTTTCATGGAAAATAAAAGTTAAAGTTGATGTGAGAAATCCCAAATGAGATTTTGCAACTTCTTTGGGATGGAAGAAAAAGGTTGGGGATGTTATATACCCAAATTGACATGAACGTCATCATCGACTTTGACATAGAATCTCGCATCCCAATTGGCGAATGCAGTAGCGAAGAACGTTTTTGTTTTGGCGGTTAGTTCGTGATACCCTTCAACATGTTCCTGCGAGGATGACAACATCGTATTGTTTCAAGGTTGAGCTTAAGGGTAATTATCGAGTAAATATGTGGTTGATCTTACGAGCCTCAGAAAGTCCATATGTTGCGATTCTTCAGAGTCAATGACTCGATCTAAAATGCTTTTAGATGTCACACTGTAGAAAATTGGAGGACAAGTTTTGTTAAATTCTGTAGGGGATGAAAAAAGTTGATAATTTTCAAGCACTATGTTTTTTTTTGCATTTGTATTTTCTACAATTTATCAGGAATCGTTCATTTTTGTAAATCATAGTGTCTTATTAACGTTTTCACAAGAAAAATGGTCCAAAAATCAACCACTCTTTGCAAATACGATATAATGAGAGAGTTAATCGATACATAACAATACCGAGACTTGTTTTCTATGTATTTTGAAACTAAAAAGTTGTGTTTCTCCTTGTAGTAAAGGGTATTTGAGACTTTTCACATATTTTTTTTGTAAAGGGTAGTTGAGGCATTTCACACAATATATATGTGTGCACCATTCATTGTCATATATTATAATAATGTTTTTAAATAATAGACATTCACTGAAAAAGAAATAGAAAATCAAATTACCTATGACCAATAATGAAACGGACGACAATACCCTTCTCCTTTTCGAGCTGAATTAGCTTTTCACCTAGTCAAGAACAAAGCTTCGTTCATTATTAGTCTCACTGSACAAAATATGRTTAGCAGTCACATAAATAGTGTTTTAAGACATGTATTKTAAGGAGCACATGATTTCATCGATAATCATCTGAATGATACCTTAAAACATGTATTTTGAGTACAAATACCACCCAAATGCATTTTTWTAGCACAATTTGACTCTTGATATACTTTTTTCTCGAGTAGASACWATYAAAAGCAGTATTAATCCYGTTGCTATAAAAARWGAAAAAAGAAAGTACCCCTAGGCATCCATGTTTCTCTAACCGAGTCGCGCCTCCTCCTGCTACTAAAAGCAGTGTTAATCTCGATAACCACAAATGCCTTTTTCCTTCTCATATCTTTCTCGGAAACCATCTTGTTTGCTTGCAAATTGCCATGGTAAACTTTCTCGAGTGAACTTTGGGCACCTGGGACCTCCATTCGCAACTTTGAAATCGAGTTTCCCAATGATCTGATACGCCTCCAACAATCAGTCAAATATTAGATCATTATATTTGTAAACGAGTATTCAATTGTATTTCAGTACGAAAGTAAATCACAATTGTGTAAGCTCGTAACTTTTACACACCCTCTTAACTTTTTCAAACTGTTCTGGTATGTAAACTTGCACATGTGAATATTGATCAAAGAAGGAACTCTTCGTGAATCCAAATTGATGTGGGCCTAGCGTGAAGGACCATGCCTTATTGTTCATGATGATCCATGACTAGGCCAATGACAGGCTAGGATCGTTCGTGTTTTCCTAGTGGGCAGAATGTCCGCACAGTGGCGGTGCAAGTGCACGCCGACACTATGATCGCTTGCAAGTAGTAAAATGATACAAAGTACCGAGATCGTTCCCACAGAGAAAGGATGATTGAGATTTAGAGATTTTTCATGAACTTCTTGCACGAGTTTTGAGATGTAAAATAACTTTGGATTTTTGTTTATAAAAAGACTGAAATAGGACCGACTAGCTAATTAACACAATAAACTTTTAATATTAAATGATGGGCATGGGTGCAAGTGTTGCTTAAGATAAAATTAACAATAAAATGGTTAGACTTTTACGAGTTGTTTATAAAAGTTCCA